CTACCGGCGCTGGAGGGGGGCCCCCCTTCGGGCGGGCGGCCCCTGCCGCTGCCCGCGCCAGGCCGGTCCGGCGGTGCAGCATCCCCTGGGTACGGTCCGGGCTGCGCCGGCACACAGGAGCTCACCGCCGCTCTCGCCTTCTTTCCAGGTTTATTCTTTCACGTGCAGCTCCGCGGCACCGCTTCCGCGCCACGTGTCGTAGAGAGGCAGCGCGCCGAGGATTCCTCGCGGTAACAAAAGAGGCCGTAGGAGTTACAGGTTGCAACGCACAGGAAAAAAAAATCCTTCCGACAAAGGTAGGAGACAAACATCCAGTCGTTCCTTTAGCTCTCTTGCTTCCTTAGCCTGGTGAGCATCAGGTAAGGGGATGCTCCAGAGGCTCCAAAATCTTGCGGGGCGCTGCAGAGTGAAGTACAAGAAGGTAGAGACGACTCAGACACCCTCACCTGCCCGAGCCAGGCTTAAACCCACCACAACCGTATATGAAATAAGCCAGAGGTTTGTAACTATGGCTCTAGATACAGAGAAGCTGACTTCAAGCCCCGTCTGAGCTGGACGGCTGCGTGGGAGTCAGGACTCGGGCTACAGCCATCACACCACCGGCTACTAAGTTTGAAGCAGAGACTGGGTTTTTCCCCTCCTTTATAGAGAAGATAATCACTGCAGGATGAAGTCTGGTTGCTCCCAGCAAGGTCTGACTCAAACCCCTGCGGGGACGCTGGAGGTGGCCTGCAAGAGCCGGGGGGCTCAGCCGTTCCCGTGCCCCGAGGTACTTACTCTGTCCAGACAGCTTTTGAAACTTTAGTCTTGGGCTGGCCAGACCAGAACTCCACTCTGTCTTTCAGTTCTTTATTCTGCAAGGAAAAAAAAAAATAAAATAAACCCCTCTCAGCATAACATAGCAGACAAGTGACAAGCCTAGATGCCAGCTAGGACCTGCCACTCCTCCAGAAAGGTTTGGAGGGGGATTTTTTATGTTTGCGGATTTTTTTTGAAACCAAGTGAAAGATGCAGTGCCAAGGAACACCACCCCGACAGCGTCGTACTGACCCCCTCATCATAGAGAATTACTTTTGCTCTCTCCCTTCAATATATCCTTTTCCTTTCTGCCCTTACCCGCACTTCCAGCGCGGTCAGCTTCTCTGTCAGGTTTTCTATTTTTTTATCTTGGCTTCCAAGTTCCTTCTTCAGTTCCTCCGCCTGAGAGTTAGGAAATGAAGTTCGTAAGAGATTGGAAACCTTAATACATCGAAAACATCTCTGTGTCGAACAAAACCACGGAGCTAAACGTCTCACAGTGCCAGGGGAATCGCAGGCCGTTCAAACCCCCTAGTCTTTTACCATAGAAGAACTCAAACTAATTGATTAAATGATTTATAAAACAATTTCTCAACACACGGTGTCGCGTTTTCCTTCGGATAACAAGTCTACCTCTTGTTGGCATATGTACAGAAACCTGATTGCGAAAGCTAATTAGCGCGGGGCCTTGCCGTAGCCGGATGGGAAAAGGCAAGCGCGTGTTCTGCGAGGCGGGGGAGTTCGTACAGACAAAGGCAGTCGGTAAGGAAAACGGCTCCCGCTGCATCGTGACTGTGATTTTTGTCGTAGCCTTTCTGGGATGTCGGCCTGTTGGCTTTGCTGTCGCGCAAACCAGGCACAGCGTGACAAGCGAGCTGCTCGTCCCCAGCACCCGTGCTTAAGACAAGAGCCCAGCGTCTCCCGTTTCTTTTCCCGACAGCCGAAGCCCTGCCCGGCAGGACGGCCGCCCCAGCCTGACCTCCTGGATCACGCCGCGCAGGCCGCGATGCTGCGCCTGGATCACGCGTTGCAGGTGGCAAATCTGCTCCCGCAGGGTGAAAATCTGCCTCTGGAGATCCAGGCACCTGCGGGCGAGAGCAGAAGCAGCCCAGGTTCAATCCCTAAGGATCACTGACCCACCCATCCGCTTTCCCACTTCAGGGTCAGCTGAAGAGCTTGTTGCTAGCAAGGACGCTCCTGAGGATACCTGGCTGTAATTCATGCAGAACTACACCTATCAAGGCTTCTTCATTGAGCAGAACAAATAAAACCACAGTTTGAGACATATTTTGCCTGGTAGGACAACCCTTACTAGCGGTTAATAAGTAAATTCATAAATAACAAAGGCTTTTGCCTTACCTACTGCATGCACCATGTCACCAAAGCAGCATCGACTCCACGTGAGAATCGGGAAAGGGAAGCAATTTGTGCATGCAAGGTGGAAGGAAAAGGACTAGGAACGGGAGCAGAATCAACATCTAAAAAAGAGCTGTAGGACATCAACATCTGTCTTGGCTTCTTCAAGCAACCACAGCAAATCAGGATTTGGAACCAGTTGCTTTCAATCATGAGTAATTTTACTACCAGGAGGAACATGAGCAAGCGATTGTCTGGTACTCTACATGAAATAATCCCCCAGAAAGAAAGAAAAACACTTTATCACATGCATTTAATTACCGTTTGCTGTCTTCACTCCTCGACATCATCTGTTGAAGCGTCTTTTCAAATGACATTTTCTTCTCTATCAGAGTTTTCTTTTCCTAAGGAAACAATCCGAGTTATGGAAAAACTAGATTACATTTGCTGTCATTCCATTAGCATGAGAAGTTTGGCTGGACCTTCGACGGTACTGCTCAGTGTCGGAAAACAGACAGAACTCAGCAATAACCACCCCCATCAACATCAGCTGGAGATACAAACCAGTCTGACCTCTCTAAAGCGAATCCCGAAGGGATGACGGTACCGATTTACCACGAGAAAAGTCCAAACTCTCGTAAAACAGCAGTTCTCTCCTTTACTTAATTAGCACAGTCCTTAGGTCTTGTGAGAGTCCATGCTCAGTGGCCACGGGATGCTGCGTTACTGCTACGTCCACCTCTCAAAACCTTGTCCACAGAGGGAAAAATCTGAACTAAACTGATGCCAAAACTCTCAGTTTTTCTCAGGATTACCCGCATGTGACGGGGGTGGAAACACACTCATTGACCCCATGTTTCCAGTAATCCCAGAAGAGGAAAAACTTAATTTTAAAATGGCACTTCTATAGGAGTAATTCCCACTCCTACCGAGCGCGTAGATCAGAAAAACGACACGCGGTGCCATTGCTTCTTCCAACCCAACTACCACCAGCACCGAAGAAAATTCACGATAAAGGAGAGGACATTTTCTGCCGATTTCTGCGCGCGCAGGCGTCAGATTGCTCCAGCAGTCATTTGCCTGCCCAAGATTTCGGATGCTTACAGCGGCGTTTTTCTGAGTTAAGAAGGAGCAGTTTTTAGTGCTAGGATGGCGACGTTTTCATTTCAAATGCTAGAAGTATGCCCACGGGGGAAGATGAAAGAGCAACTGTTCGGGAGCAGAAATCATTAATAGCTACAAATTAAGACTTCTAACTGATGCGCTACGCTTCAGTGGTCAAGCATTGGAACAGGCTGCCCAGGGAAGGGGTTGAGTCTCCATCCCTGGCGGTATTTAAAGGACAGATAGACGTGGTGCTCAAGGACACAGTATAGCGATGGACTTGGCAGTGATAGGTTAACGGTTGGACTCGATGATCTTAAGGGTCTTTTCCAACCTTAACGATTCTATGATTTTTAAGCAAGTTCTGAAATAACTGAAAGAGGGAGCTCAAATTGCACATTTTACTTATAGTTACAGCTAAAGGATCTCAAGGGCAGAAGCCTTTTTAGTCCTCATTCCAACAGCTAACATGCCCCAAACCCTGAAAGCAATGAACTCCCCTTTCCAAGCACCAGCACTCCCAGGGCACGTTCCTCGCCTGCGCCGACTCCCAGCCCCGGGACAGACGGACACGAGGAGCAGGTGGACATACCTCCTCCATCCTTTGCACGCGCTTCTCCATCTCTGCGATGCGGGTACATTTTTCCCTGATGCCTTCAGCGAGGCGGCTGGCGTTTTCTGAGCTTTGCTGGAGCTTCTCTTCTTGTTGAAGATTGTGGGCCTGGGACCAAGAAGGGCATTAAGGCAGGCATGCAGGGAGCCGGCGAACGCAGCAGATGGACAGAGATGGGGCTCGAGGAATTTTGAGCCAACTCTACCAACCCGTTTCCAAGAATCGGGAATAAAATTAAAATAATTCATTCTTATTCATTTTCCTATTTAACTTCCCCACGGTGCGAGCAGAAGAGACTCCGTAGCTCCTAGGTCGAAGTTTGCAGCACAGAGAGCCAGAGCCCACGTAAATATTTTGATAGGGAACAGGACGGTCGTGCCCACACGTGGGAGAGATTTGTACCTGTATTCGCTTCTTCTCATTCTCATGCCTTTCTTTCAGTTCTTCTGACCGAGTCTGGTAATTCTCATGCAGTTTCTGGGAGGCAGATCGGAGAGCCTGTACACCTGCTTCTCTGGTGGCTTCCAGCTAGAAGGAGGAATTGTACGATACATATATATATCGTGCTTTAAAAACGGGATGTTACAATCACATGCCAAAAAATAAGCCCTCTACACAAGATGAAATTTCAGCATTTACCCTTGTCAAAAAAACAAAGAAAGGAATCCTAAACACCTGGGGGCAATACCTGCCAGGCATTTGAGTTTCCAAAGAAAGGCAGATTTATTCAGTAAATATGATTTATTTATTCAGCCCCTTGACAAACAAAGGCTGATGGTTTAAAAGGAGAGATGCATGTCCGACCGCTTGTAAATACACCGAGAGCTGACTGTGCTGTCTCACTCGCCACAAAGGGGATGGGGATGGGATGGCAAGCAGATTTCGACGTGAATTTTGTCGCCCGTTGGAATGCCAGAGTTTGCAGCAGGCGGGAAGCGAAGCAGAGCCTGCCCCTTCCCCGAAGGACAGGCTCCGGCGCGGGATCGCTGCAGCAGCCGGGACCCAACTCCGACTCCCTGGGCTGCAAAGCACACGTATTCCTCTGAAACCTTAAAAAACCAACCAACCAAACACACCTTGATCTTCAGCACTTGGTTTTCCCTGCTGACCAGCAGCAGCTGCTCTTCAGTTTCCTTCATCGTCCTTGCGATGGGACGGCAGCTCCAGCCGCTCTTCTGGGACTCCGCTTTATTGCCCAAGACTTGAGGAAGCTGCTAAAGGAAACGCACATGGAAATTATTTAAAAAATCATAGAAAACCAACTTGAGCAATCAATCTGACTCTAAAAGACCTGGCTTCTTATAAAAACCCCTCTCTGGTTCACGCAGGGAGCACGGGGCAGACAAGGGGCAGCTCTCCGGAGAGTTGGTCCGAGCTGCTCCCGGGGCAGCGGCCAGCACGGCTCCTCCACCTCCACGAATGAACTGAAATTAAAATGTTCTGCTCGTTCAGCTCTCCAGGGCTTTACATTGGGAAGGATTTACATGTCAATTCTAATAAATAGCTTTCTTCCACTGTCTATAATGTTATTCCACAGGTATAAGATTGATTAGCTTTTACAATATCGCAGCGTATGTTGCACTGTAGGTGAGTAAACGTTGTCCGCCACCTCCCGTTAAAAGAACTACTTTTTCCTCCAGCGTATTTTAATTGTTTGGACCTAACATTTCCACATCTGTTCGCTTCCTAGGGGCTGCCTCTTTGCTCAAAACCACTTGCTTAAAGTGGTTTTCAGTTGCTTAAACCACTTCTTTCCCCCACGGGTGTTCGCAGAAATGCACGCTCAGCGCTCGCCTCCTGTTTCGAGAGCCGGTACGTGCGAGGAACACGACCTGCGATCGGTCAGATTTATGCCAGGAGGCAGTGGCATTTATACGGCCTTTCTTACGTTACACCAAGTTCATTTGTTAAAAATAAACTACTACAAACAAAGGGCAGTCTGTGCTTTTTAAAGGCTTGAAACCATAAATCACTTTCTTTTCACTACAGAGGCTTTTATTCAACCTTGTTCCTCAGCTGAACAGGGAAAGGAGTAAGTATTTTTTAAAAAGAACTTTTTATGATCAGTTATTTCTTAATTAGCCATGTCTCAGCCCACTGATCCTTCCTCTCCCTCATTCCGCAGCGCTCTCCTGGGCTCAGCTGGGATGCAGAAAAACTGCCTTCGCGCAGCAACATCGCCGCGCTCTGCTGCTTAGAGCAAAGAAATAAGATATCAGATCTACTGGGCTGAGTCTCATTGCTCACAAGATCTTTTATGGGGGAAAAAAAAGAAAAAAAAAAAAGGCACGTCCTACCTATTCATGGTGGTGTCAGCATCAGGCAGAGCACCACGTCCCAGGCCCTTCAAGAGGTGGTGTCACCACCACAGAAGATATTTTTTTTTTCTTTCTCAGTAATTGCTTCATGTAAATTATTTTGGATTATGAGATGCTTAAGGATTCATCACCATCTGTGATTGTGCTCTGCAGCTTCATGCATTTAATGGTAAAGGGAATGAAGAAATCTTTTTTTTTTTTTAACTTAAATCATAGAATCACAGAATGCTTTGGGATGGAAGGGACCTTCAAAGCCCATCCAGTCCAACGCCATGCCATGAGCTGGGACATCTTCAAACAGATCAGGGTGCTCAGAGCCCCGTCCAGCCTGGCCTTGAATGTTTCCAGGGATGGGGCATCTCCCACCTCTCTGGGCAACCTGGGCCAGTGTTTCACCACCCTCAGCGTGACAAATTTTTTCCTTGTGTTCAGTCTAAATCCCCCCTCCTTTAGTTTAAAACCATTGCCCCTTGTCCTGTCGCAGCAGGCCTTGCTAAAAAGACTATCCCCATCCTTCTTGTAGGCCCCCTTTAAGTACTGAAGTAAGTAAATCAAAAGTTTGAGGTCTTATCTCCTGTCATTACCCACATTAAGGGCATTCATTAAACTCCGTTTTTCCTGCATTTCCTCTGGCATTCGGGAAAGGAACAACTCAAGACTATTTCACGCGTCTCACAACTACTGTACACCGCGCTCCCCAAGGCCCTCTCGGTTTCGCTGGCACCTCCAGGCTCTGCCCATCCCATGGGTCAGATTCTGGCCCTCCAGGTCCCCCCAGACCAATATTTCTGTGTCAGCTAAGGCTGCTCACTGCTCCAGAGCTTCCTCATCTCTTCCAGGGCCCAAGCCCAGCCCTACAAAGCTCAGCATTAGAGCAAACGGCTTCAAATAAAAACTTGCAGGTCTATTAGTACGTACCACCAGCATGACGTTCAAAGTGCCCAGCAGCCTGAACAGCAGCTTTAGATACGTGTATTTTTTTAATGCATCACCTCTCACGTTATTCTCATTGTTTTTGCAGTAGAATGCATCCATCCCACACTTTCTAACCGCTTAGTCACCGTCTTTGTATGCAAAGCAGGCAAAGAAGCTCCAACCACATGTTCGTTCACGCTCTTTTCCATCATCCCGTCTTTTTCCACAGGACAGCAAATGTTTGATAAACCTTTGATGGACCCAGGGCAATCGTTAGCCCAATACCAGTCCGCTTATCGGCCACACTATCGGACACAGGCGTTCCCCAGCCCTGTCCCGCCGACCGCGGCCAGGCTCCGCGCCCTTCTTCTCGCATCTCCCAGCAAACAGCCCCAGCTCCGCCGCCACCGAGCGGGGACCTTGGGTGGGGACACGCGCTTCAGCGGCTCCTGCAACAGTCCTAAACCCGGGGTGGAAGAACCTCACCGGTTTTAAAGTGGTTTAACCCAACCTAAGACAGCGTACGCTATAATTAAGTTACTATGGCGGAGTAAATAGCATTTCTAGAAGCGAGGTGTAAATCCAAAGGTTTTCCAAGTGCGTACTGCCGTGCAGGTCAGGATTTTCTCCTCCAGTGGTTATTTGTTTTGCTCACGCTGAAGCAAAGAACAGAACAGAACAGTGACAACTGCAGAAATACCTTTTTCACGTATTCAGCTTCCTCGGTGATTTGGGCACAAGAGGATCCGTAAAGGACGTAGTTTCCCTCCGAGCCGTGGTCTTCTTGTGTTATTTGCTCAGTGAGGAGCAGGGTGGTCATCACGATGCGCGCGTTTCTCCGTTCTGCACAAGTGAGAGAAGAGAGGGGCTTGTATCATTCCGCAAGGATGGAGAGTAATTCCATTATTCCATCCCGTTTAATTCCATTTCAGCTTTAGGGACATGCTGGAGCCAAACAGGCATTGCAAACTTCAAGGACCAAACATTAAGAATGACTTTAAAAAAAAAAAAAATGCAGACACACGATTTTTTTTTTTTTTTAATGGATGGGAAGAGAGAGAGATTCACACATTATTCTCCCTGAAGATTTCAATGACTTCTTACTAGCAACCTACACCCCAATCCTGTATTATTTCAGAAAACACGTGGCCAGAGATCCCAGGCCGTCAGGGAATTCAGTCCGCACTTGCCTCCGCGCTCCGCACGACTACGCCAGAGCAGAGCTGGTTTTAATCAGGTTCAGGAGGATTTCTCCGATCCCGCCTAGATGCAAGAAGCAGCACAAAGCTTGAATGATATCCTAACTCTCCGGGAAAAGACAAGCTACCTGGGAGGAACAGATGGGAGACAAGAGAGAAGGCTTCTTCTCTCCATAGCACATGGAGAATAAAATCCCGAGCACCTTCACTAGGTTTGTGCTGTACAATGGTGACATCCAGTGTCAGCTGCGTTGCTCTGAAGCGAGCGGCTGGATCTCAAGATGCCGGTTTCCAGCCCTATCCCAGGTAGCCAGCGAGCTCCCAGCTGCACATCAGACAAGCTGATTTTTTTTTAATGAGCACATTAAAAGGATCTGGAAGGACCTGGAACCAATTAAAGTTGGCATAGAGGAATAATAAAGCCATGCAGAGCCTGCAGGGTGCGGACGGGCTCACAGCAGAAGAGACAAAAAGTGGTTGCACTTTACAAAGCTTACAGATCATTTACAATAATATTTCATTTAAAAACGCATTTCTTTTAAAGCCCTGAAGTTCAAGGTCTTGGGGCTCCTGCAGTTAAGCTCAGTAACAGCAATCCTGCCTGCACAGCGCCGATGCTGGGGGCCAAACCCTTGTGTTCGTTGAGTCATCCCAACAGCACGACCAGGAAAAGATCGCTCAGGCTAACGCGTCTCTTAACTAGCTCACTTTCTAATAAAATATAATTAGGCAACTTGAAACATTTATTGCTGTGATGGAGGAGGAACGCCGTTCCCACCGAGGGCCGCACGGAGCCGGTTTGCACAACTGCCTCGGTGGATCCCCAGCGGCTCCCCCACACCAGAGACATCTCCAGGTACCATCACCTTCTGGCCCAGGCGACAACGGAAGGCTAAATTAGAAATTAACTATAAATAAGTGTAAAGAAATTTCACATGCGAGCTTTAAGTGCCCCAGGGTACTTAGAACCCCAATTCCTAGGTGATTTACAAATTCAAAGAGCAATAAAGTAAAAACTCTTATTGTTTTCCTCTTTACTCTTCTCCACCTTTTAAAAGTCAGGAGCATCAGCAGAGGCCATCACCGAGCTGGTCTGTCCTGGACACGGGAGAGAGGAGGAAAATCAGGTTGCAGGAGAGCGAGCTGCCTTTCCTACCCTAGCTTCTACTTGAATAGCAAAGGGGAGCTGATACCCAGATACAACCCTCGAGGGCTTTGACCTCAAGCAAAAAACCCACTTGCTCCAAATGTCGTTCCCCGATTTCACAGTGCCACGGTTTATCCAGGCTGGAAGATAAAGCAGAAACCCCAGACACCTGCAGCCGCGGCACAGAGGAGGTTTTTCATGGGTACAGGGGATGGTTCCCACCAGCGCTACAAGGGGTTAAACAAAGTTTGTTCTGTCTTGCTGGCTGCTGTTTTCCCTCCTGCCCGCAATCTCGCAGCTACTGAGTCACCCAACACAAAGGCAACCCAGGATCAACTCTCCTTCCAGCCTTCGCTAATTCAGGCTGAAACCTCCCCTCGCCCCCAGGGGCTAAGTCCTGGAATGGAAATGTTTTTCAGCTCTGAAGCAACTGAGCCAGGAGAAGCAAGCGAGAACAGGCACAGCTCTCACTTGACCTGCTGGCCCTGGGCTGGGAGGCAGAAGTCCTTGGGAAGGTCCCTCCTTCCCCAACTGGGCAACCACCAGCAGCAGAGCAGTAG